AGGTTGAAGAGGAGACAGATAATCTCCTGAAGGACTGAAGGTTGCTGTAACCATTTTCAATTTGACCAAATTTTTCTTCCCTCCACCCCGCCTTTTTGCTAATTAATGCTTTAGAAGGTTTTCAGCGTTGACAGCGCGGAGGAGAAAAGGGAGGGCGAAATACAGAAGGAACATCCAATCTCCCCCTTTCTCACAGACAAGCAAATCAAAGTATGTCCCCTATCTTAACAGTTTTTACTGATAAGTAATGGCCGCTTCACTTATTACGTCAGGAATGGGTGAGAAAAGTGGAAGCGGCAACAAAATGCTGCAGTGGGGAGTGTTGCAACTGAGAGTTGCAGCCAGCTAGCCAGCAATGCCCTTTCCCAAGAGATGCCATTCCATTTCACCTCCCTGAAACAGACCCTTTGACTCAGGTTGCACGTAACGCTGGGCCAAGTTATGGTCGTACCCAATACTAGTCCTACTCAAGAGTAGACGCATTGAAAGTTAAAGGTTAAAGCATGCAGGCTCCCAGATAGAAGACTGTGGCCTCTCTGCTTCTCGCCTGGTCCTGTGTTGCTGTGAGTGAAGCCTTGGTTTGGCTTAGTGTGTTGTGAACACCCAGGCTTATGGTTTGCCTGGAGTAAGACAAACCACAATCCTCTGACTGGACAACACATTAAACCAAACCATGGCTTAGCTGAAAAAAGGTTTAAAAGAGGACTGCACAAATTCATTGAGGATAAGGTTACCAATGGCTACTAGCCTTAACGGCCATGCTCTGTCTCCCCACAGGGCAGGGCCAGAGAAGCAAAATGTGTCAGAGGATCCCAGAACGCCTGCTCCATATTCCTCAATTCACAGTAAACCTCAACCCACCTCTGTTTAAGAGCCAGGGCCCTGCAATTGTCAACTGATGCCCTTCTCTATGTTCCTCCTTCAAGGTCCGGAAGGTGGCAACACAAGAACAGGCCTTTTCAGTGGTGGCCCCCTGCTTGTGGAATGCTCTCCCCAGTGAGACTCGCCTGGTGCCTTCTTTCTCTAGCTCTAGGTGCCAGGCAAAAGCTTTCCCTTTTACCTGGGCTTTTGGCCCTTAGTTTGAAGGATCGAAGTATTTGCAGCTTCTTTCGGTGGGGCAGAATCTGCTAGACTTGTCTTTTAGTTGTATAGATGTGTACACTTTTTAGGGCTTTTTAACAATAACAATTGTATTTGTTCTCATTGGTTTTAGTATTTCTATTGCGCTTGCAAGGCACTTTCAGCTATCTTTATGAGCAAGGAAATAAAACAACAACAACAACTTCCATCAGCCCTAGCCAGCATGGCCAATGGCCAGGGATGCTGGGAGTGCAGCAACATCTTGAGGACCACCGGTTCCCTATCTCTCTTTTAAAAGCTGCTGCTTAAACTAATAGCCTCCATCCCAGCCTGATTGGGGTTCTTGCTTCACAAGTGGGGAGTGGTTCACCTTGGGTGACATTCAAACACGGCAAGATGCTTTGCAAGTGACTGTGGCTACCAAAAAGACAGAAAAATGCTGCAATTCAGCCCATAACAAACAAATGCAATTGTTAATGTCTCCGCCCAACCATCCCCAGATTAATCTATTGTCTGCACGTAATGGGACTAATAGTCCGCTTGCCTTCTCTCAAAAGGCCAACTATCCTAATCCATCCTCTGTAATGGCAATATAATGATTCACCAACGGCAACAGGATAGCTCTGAAGCTTACAGGAAATGGAGCTTGAGAGGAGATATACATGTGAGATGAACTCTGGACAGAAAGATAACCTCAGCCAACCACACTGGAAGGATGAACATAGCCAGGTGTTTGTGCTGTTTTGCTGACTCTCCAGCGAGTTAGTGCTCCCCCTACCCCGCTCACTCTATTTCTCATACCAATAAAATGAAGAAAATTTAAGAACCTCAAACACCCATATTATGCATGACTGGCTCTCGACTGATGGAAGCTGGATTCTAACAGAAAGTTTGCCTGCTTTGAAATTTCTGGAAATCTTAACGCATATATAGGTGCATTGGTGTCGGCATGTTCGTGTACACCAAACTTATGCAAGAAGGTATTACTTCAGTGCCTGAAATCCTGGGCAGCTGCTGTCAGTCAATGTGGAGTTAGATGGACCAATGGAGTTAGATGGACCAATGGCCTGAACCAGCATAAACTTCCTATATTCCTAATAAATTAAGAATTGGAGATTCCAAGTTCAATCCCAAATGGTATATCCTGGTAGGGCTGGGGGAGACTCCCTGCCTGAAACCCTGGAAAACTGCTGCCAGTCAGTGTAGACTTCATTGAGCTAGAGGGACCAAAAGATCTGACTCGCTTCCTATCCACGTTAGTGAGATGTGCAGGTGTACACGTACACACACCCTGATATTTCTTTTTTAAAAACCACACACCGTTATTAATATTGCATTTTATAGTGTTAATCTGCCCTGAGATCTTATACTGAAGGGCAGGAAAGAAACCCAATAATAAATAAACACACACAAACACACACACACACACACACACACACACACACACACACACACTCTTACAGGCATTAGGAGTCAGACATGTCTTTAATGGGGAGAAGGATGAAAAGGCTAATGGATCGAGGCAATTAACCAAAAAATAAATCAGCGTCAGGATCCCTGCGTCTCTCGCGCCAAGGCTGCCAGGCGCCTGTGGGGTCTGGCAAGATGTCGAAGTGTTAGCAGTCATAGTGATGGGCTGTCAAAAGGGAAGGGAAGGAGACAGCAGTAGTGAGTGGGGGGTGCTGGGAGGGGGAAAGCTAAGAATACAAATGAGGGACAGGGAACCCGAAACCTGTGTCAGGAACAGAATCCCAATTCAAGCCTGCAACAGACCTTTGAAACTGGAATGGGGGAGTTTGGTTCCAGCTGGGGAGTGAATCTGGAGCTAGTGTGTATGGAGGGTGGGGTGGGGTGAGAGAGAAAAAAATCTATTTGGTTTACATTTATAGGCGATTCAACTGGATTTGTACTTTTCAAAACAACATGAGAACTGAACACACAACCATCCTTTGAAATTTGCACTTCTGCCGAATTTTGCATTGCACTTCTCCAGCTACATAGCATGTACATAAAGGCATATAAAGTGGGATAAAGTGTGCACACAAACACAGGTATTGATGAAAACAACATGCAAAAACATGTTATTTTAGGTGAACCTGCTTTGCAAAAAATGCATGTTCTTAGGGAAAATGGCATAAATACTGATGAATTTTCGCAAGGACTTCAAAAATTAAAACAGCAAACAGGGGTTGAAAGCGGAATTCAAGATTGCAAAAATGGGAAACAGAGAGAAACTGAAACTGACAGATTTGCCCATCCCTAGTGACAATGCACCATCGCATCGAACAGCTTGATCCTAGCTATGTGCCCCCAAAACAGTCACTAACACTCACTGGATATTTATTTTGGGAGGGGAGGGGGGTGGAATAAAAGGAGACCCTGAAAGATAACGAGATATGAAATACAATGGAAAGCCATTCCTTTTTTAAAAAAGAAAAAAGTTTTACTCATCTTGCCATCTCTTAACGATCCTTCCTCCGCTGCAGAGATCGTATTAAATTTCCCTGATCAATACAGTCGCCATAAACCTGTCCCGACCCTCTGCCCTTCCTTAACATATAAAATAAAATCCAATATGCAAAGCAAGGAGCCGTGTTGGGGCCACGACGGCAGCAGCACAGACAGAGCTGAAGAACCACAAAGACATTAAGGAAATGGACGGAGGTATCTGCCTGTGCATCCACCGGGCAAAAGCTGCAGGGAAAGGCGCTTCCACTGGCCACTTTCAATATTACCTGTTTGGTGTGGATGGGGAAACTTGCACCTCCCGACATTGCTGGACTCCAACTCCCTTCAGCCCCAGTCACCATGGTAAGTAGTCAGGAACAGACCCAGTTTGTCACCACTGGCACGCATACACACACACACAGGCTGGGAGAACTCAATGGCAGCCCCCTGGAGGCTTCACCTGTGGCAAAACATGCAGCTAGCTCCCCATAGCTACGGTTTTGGAGCTGGAGTCCAGCAACTCATGACCCTTCAGATGATGCCAGGCTGCAGCTCCCAGCATCCCTGACCATCGGCCATGCTGGCTGGGGCAGATGGGGATTGGAGTCTGCACATCTGGAGGACCAGAGGTTCCCCACCCCTGACCGACATAATGAAAGGCTCTCCCCTGAACAAAAAAGGTAAAGGGACCCCTGACCGTTAGGTCCAGTTGCAGATGACTCTTGGGTTACGGCGCTCATCTCGCTTTATTGGCCGAGGGAGCCGGCATACAGCTTCTGGGTCACGTGGCCAGCATGACTAAGCCGCTTCTGGCGAACCAGAGCAGTGCACAGAAATGCCGTTTACCTTCCCGTCGGAGCGGTACCTATTTATCTACTTGCACTTTGACGTGCTTTCAAACTGCTAGGTTGGCAGAGGCTGGGACCGAGCAATGGGAGCTCACCCCGTCAACGGGAACAGACCCACAAATGCCCAAGAAATGTCAGCCCCAGCTCAGTCCTTCGCTGCCCTGTGCAGTTGTATTATTTTGAAGTGCAGGATATAATCACAGCAGCTCCCATCATGTTTCTGACTGCATAGGTTCAACTTATACAGTGGTACCTCAGGTTAAGTACTTAATTCGTTCCAGAGGTCTGTACTTAACCTGAAACTGTTCTTAACCTGAAGCACCACTTTAGCTAATGGAGCCTCCTGCTGCTGCCGAGGCGCAGGAGCACAATTTCTGTTCTCATCCTGAAGCAAAGTTCTTAACCTGAAGCACTATTTCTGGGTTAGCGGAGTCTGTAACCTGAAGCGTATGTAACCTGAAGCGTATGTAACCCGAGGTACCACTGTACAGCTCACAGAGCTTTAACATAAGAACATAGGAGTCTGCCTTTATACTGAATCAGACCATTGGGTACCATCGAGCTCAGTACTGCCTACCTTAACTAGAAGCAACAGTTCAGGGTTTCAGGTGGGAAAGTCCTATCAGGAGATGCCGGGGATTGAACCTGGGGCCTTCTGCATGCAAAGCAGATGTCCTAACCACAGAGCCGCAACCCTTTACTCCCTTTCGCCGACTGAAATGGAAAGTTCCACGCTTTTAATGAGAAATGCAGTTTATTCTGCAATGCAAGAAATGTTCCCATTTTGAATGCCAGCATGAAGTAAGTGGGAGTCCAGCTTTTCGTTAGTTCATCTAACAGCAACAGAGTTCCCGTTCATACCAGCCTCCTGGAGTGTTGCAGCTGGCCCAGATAACAGGGCTGATTGGGCTTTTCAAGCCTCGGCTGCAAATCAAAACCTCCAAATTAAACTAGATCACACACCATGCTTTAGCGGGTTATTATATCATGAGCTTGTCGTCCCAGTGACACAGCATTATCAAAAAGCTTGCAGGAACTGCGTGCCTGGCAGAAGACTTGGAGCTGGAACGGCCCTACCATTAGGGACAGTGAGGCGGATGCCTCAGGCGGAAGTGAAGTATTGGAGGGTGGTGCTGTGTATGCCCCTGTATACCCTTGTCCTCTACCCCCATCAGCAAGCTTGCTGTTTTATGAAGAGGTCTGGAATGTGATGTGAATGAAGAAGCCAATCCATAAGCTCAGAGCCCTACGAACAGGATCTGGAGTGAACAAATTTCAGGACACATGGCAAACCTTCCTTACGCTTGTCTCTGGAGACGAAAATGACTGTAGCGCCCCACCCCCACATCAAGCCACACATGGCTAATTGTGACTAAATACTTTGGGGTGGGGAAATCTCAAAATATTCTCAGCACTGATGAATGCAACTTGAATACATCAATGAGATGTGATTGTAACTCCCTGTGAAACATTTTCTCTCTTTGTTATGATTTATCTTTGTGCTTTTATATTTATAAAAGTAATACAAAAATGTTTTGCTTGTTTTGAAGCAGGCCTGCTGCCTTCAGGATGTGGGAACGAACAGCCCCATTGCCAGTATTGAAGTAAAACTCAATGGCCGGCCAGTCAGCTTCGTACATGGAACGGGAGGAGGCGAAGCATCATCATCTCATTTGCCTTACACTTAGGAGGTGAAGTTTTTCAATGTGACACTTTGTGGTGTAACTCCGTTTGCATGTATGGCAGCTGCAGCATCTCCAGGTAGGGCTGGGAATGAAGACTCCTACCTGAAGCCCCAGAGAGCTGCTGCCAGTCAGTGTGTGCAATACTGAGCTAGATGGACCAACAATTCTGACTCAGGATAAGGCATCATTTCATGTTTCTTTTCCTGTCAGGCATCAGCGGGGAGGGGGCAGGGTGTCAACATCATTTACGGCCCAGGAATTTCTGCACTCAACTCTATTCGAGTACCAAAAGGCAACTTCTTTGCAAACAAAAAAAGGATCTTGTTGCCAAAGTTTCAAGAAGAAAAAGGGGTGGGGATGGGTCCCCGATGGTGTCACGCTTTGCGAGGCGTCTATGTTATTTAAGAACGAGCGAAACAGGAGCGATGTATCAGTCAGAGCTGCCTAAACGAGAGCGAACACCAAGGGACGGGGTAGGCGTGTAAATCAGCCAGAGCCTGCGCCAGAAGAAAAATAATGATCTTTTTATGGATGCCATTAAAAAGGGAACCCCAGCCTGCTCTATAAATACTGTTGCAGCACGACGACGCTGCCTGAGCAACCTTATTTAACAGAAGCTGGCGCCTAACCTGTGAGATATATGAAAGATCTCAAGGACAGTTTGACCAGGTTGGGGTGTGTGGGTGTGGGTGTGTATACTTGGGTGAATATTGAAAAAAAACCTTTAAAAGCAAAACTTATCCAAGCTCTTCAAGAGCAACACTCTGATCTGGGTCTTCAGTCCAGGATGTGAACTTGGGAAATTCCCTCTGGATAAGCCACAGAAAATTGAGTACTCATCCCTTCTGGGAGACAGAAAAGGTTGCCTGGACCCATCAGACATGGCATCAGACACACATCTCCCTCCTCCTGAGGCAAGTGGTTGTGGCAGACGGAGGAAGTACTGAGGAACAAAAGTATATTGTGTGGCGTAGTGGTTAGAGTATCGGACTATGACTTGGGATACCAGGGTTCAAATCCCCACTCAGCCATAAAGCTGACTGGATGACCTAGGGCCCAGTCACTGCCTCTCAGCCTAGCCTATATCACAGGGTTGTTGTGAAGATAACATTGGGAGGGGAAAACCATGTACACTACCTCAAGCTCCTTGAAGGAAAAGGTGGTACCTCCGGTTATGCACTTAATTCGTTCCGGAGATCCGTTCTTAACCCGAAACTGTTCTTAACATGAGCCGTGCTTTTGCTAATGGGGCCTCCCACTACCGCCATCGCGCAACTTCTGCTCGGATCCCAGGGCAAAGTTCAAAACCAGGAGCATCTACTTCTGGGTTAGCAGAGCTCATTATCTGAAGCGTTCGTAAGGAGGACGGTACATAACCCAAGGTTCCACTGTATATAAATGCAGTAATTAGAATGCAGCATCCCTGCACATTAAGCAGAAATACAGGAAAATGGCTGAGGAACAGTCAACCACCCGTGCTGCATGACCCCAATAAAAAGAGCTGCCTGGATGAGGTAGACAGGTGTGATGACAGTGGAAAGGCAGCGGAGATCAAACAATGAACATGTGGGGTGGGGGAGCTTGGTGACCGCAACCCCACAGGCCCCAGGCATTTGTGAGAGAATGTGGCACCAAAGTGCTGTTAGGCCCAATGCCAATGATTCTACCACAAGGGCAGAAAATGGCAACCCAGAGAGGTAGAGTGTGCCAAACTCGAGCTGTAGACTCACCAAGCCACCAACGACTGATTCCCTCATGCTCAGTCCATCAAATCTAAACTTTTCTCCCTCCCTCAAAAGCGACAAGTAACAGTGCGGATGAAGAAGTAAGAATATGGAGGCCCAAATGGACAAAGGGGGCTGGGGGGGGGGAATAGGGGAAAGTCTGAGGGATGAACTGAGGATGAAACGCTAATGAAAGAAAGGAGATTTTCAGGGCCCACCCCATTCCTGTAATTGTAATATGTTTTATCTGTTTTTTATTCTGAGGTTTAAATTGTTGTAACCTGCCCTGGGACCTGCCGGTGAAGGTAAGGCAATAAATTGAGTAGTAACTTTAACTCATAGGGTCCCAAATGGGGGGGAAAGCAAAGGTGGAAAAAGACTACTGAACTCACAAATCAAGGCTACAGATGGGAAAGAATTTACCACTTCAGAGAAGAAAGACTAAAGGAGAGCAGGCAGGGTTGGTCTGGAGAGAGGGATGACTCCCCACCGTCTGCCTCCCACCCAGGGAGGAGTCAAAAGCAGCCTCTCTCAACCTGTGGGTCCCCAGATGTTGTGAACTCCCATCACCCCTAGCTAGCAAGGCCAGAGCTCAGGGATGATGGGAGTTGTAGTCCAACAACATCTGGGGACCCACAGGTTGAGAACCGCTAGTCAAAAGGATCCAGAGGACCCTTCCAGTAGCAGGAGGCAGCTTACCTATAAGGAATGCCCTGGGGCAACATTGGGCAAATTAACATTAACATCTGCCCACTTCCGCCTCTGGCCCTGCCCACTCATGTGTGGTGCAGACCAGGGTTCAAATCCCCAATCAGAGATGAAACGAATGGGAGTGACCTTGGGCAGCCAGAGTTGCTCAGCCTATCCTATTTCACAGGACAGGATATGCCACCTTGAGCTCCTTGGAGGAAAGCTGGATGAAAAAGTATGCGGTCCCCGAAAAGTTGCCTGGAAGGGAATGCGACTGTTGCACTGAAAAAGAGTCGTAAGAAGAGCTTGCTGGATCCAGGCAATGGCCCATCCAGTCCAGCATCCGGTTCTCGCAGCAGCCAACCAGATGCTTACCAGAAGCCTGGAAGCAGGAGCTGAGCACAAGAGCCCTCTCCCCTCCAGAGCACAGTCATCATGGCCAACAGCCATCGATAACACCATCGATTTGCCACCCCTATTCTAACAGCCTCACATTCTCGTACAACCAAAAGGATTAACACCCTCTGGCTACGGTGCAAGGGATGATTCGCTGTAAGAGGCTTCCCCCAGATATGCTTGGCTTTGCACAGACCAGCCTGCAGGCGGGAAAGGCCTTGAGCCAGCCAGCAAGGTCAGCCCTCTCCAAAACTCCCCGTTCGGTAAGACCAGGACCTCTGAGTCAGCCGAAAGAAAGGACGGTGATCTGAGAGAAGCTGACAGCTCAACTTGATCTGAGACAACCCCCCCACCCCCCGTTTCCCACTTATCGCCTTGCACACAGCACGACAAAACCTCCCTAATCGCTCGCCGCATGGCCAATACCTTTCTTCGCCGGTCGATGGCGGGCAGAACAGCCCCGAGAGGATAAAAACCTGAAGATGAGCAACGCAAGGATTTGGGTCAAGGCTCTCAAGCCTTGCAATCGAGTGTCTAATCAGTGAACAGCGAGGGCAGCTAGACAGGGAAGGAGCGAATGTGCCGCTGCAGAGCGCAAAAGCTCTCCGGTATTGAACAGAGGGGCATCGCAGCCTGCCGGGAAGCCGCGGGGTGGTTTTCATCCGAGATGCTCAGATCTGCCTTGGGCAAGCCAACGTTAAAGTGAACAGGGCTATGCAGCCCACCAGATCTAAAGAGCACCTCCCGCCTGCCTGCCTCCTTCCAACTTATTCTAATGTCAAGCTAGGGAGGCTGTAAAAGGGCCCTTTTCAGCTCTGCTAGGCTTTGGGATTAAGCACATCATGAGCTTCTGTTCTGTTCAGACAGGAAGTGCCTAGCTAAACAATAGCACTCACTCCCACGGGAGGCAGCAATGGCCACCAGCTTGGACGGCTTTAAAAGAGGACAGGCAAATCTATGCAAGAAAAGGCTATCAATGGCTACTAGCCACAATGGCTATGCTCTACAGCCAGTGTTGGAAGCAGTATGCCTCCATGTGCCCATTGCTGGGAAGCAAAAGTGGGGAGAGTGAGAGCAGGATGCTGGACTAGGTGAAACAGGCTGTTGCCTTGATCCAGCAGTCAGGCTCTTCTTAAAAGGTAAAGGTAAAGGGACCCCTGAAAATTAGGTCCAGTCGCAGGCGACCCTGGGGTTGCGGCGCTCATCTCACTTTATTGGCCGAGGGAGCCGGCATACAGCTTCCGGGTGATGTGTCCAGCATGACTAAGCCGTTTCTCGCGAACCAGAACAGCGCACGGAAACGCCGTTTACCTTCCCGCCGGAGCGGTACCTATCTATCTACTTGCACTTTGACATGCTTTCAAACTGCTAGGTTGGGAAGAGCAGGGACTGAGCAACGGGAGCTCACCCCGTCGCAGGGATTCGAACCGCCGACCTAGGCTCTGTGATTTAACCCACAGTGCCACCCACGTCCCAGGCTCTTCTTAGACTCATCTTATTCCATCGGATGGGTTTAAAAGGCCATGAGATAAATTCATGAAGAGTAGGGCTATCGTGGCTACTAGTCACGACAGCTGGCTTCTACCTCCATCGCTGGAGGCAGCAGACTTCTGAATACCCGCCGCTGGGAGTCACACGTTGTGGCACCTGTCCGTCTCGGGAGACAATGGAGGAGTGCTCCTTCGGGAGTGAAGTCAAACTGTTGGAAGGTTACAGCACCTGATGTGGTTTTTAGAGAGGGCCCAGTGCAGTTGGTCCAAGAGGAAGGTCCAAGCGTAAAGAGCAACTTTGTTTAAAGGAACAAGAGGCCTTTTTTATTGCAGATACGCATCTCCGCAGTGTCTGCTCCTTGCCAGAGTTCTGAAGGACTCTCCGCCTCCCCCGCTGCCCCCTGCTGTCTATCTCCATTGGCTTGCCCGCCTCGACCGCTACCAGCACCTATAAATCTTCCCTCTCAACATCCATCAAGCACCTGTGTTATCGATCATCCCCTGACCACAGCGCAATGTGGCTATTAATACAAAGACTCGCTGACAGGGCGACATGAGGGGCGCGCAGAATGAAGAGGCACCCCAGCAGACTTCAAGCTGGGGGAAGCAATCGAGGGTTCCCTCAAAAGAGGTGGCTTGCAGTTAGTAAATGGTGTCCCCTTGCAAAACAGCCTGGCTGCCCTGCCTTTTCTCCCCATGGAATATGCAAGCGTGGAACAGCACCAGGTGCATTTAGAGGGGTGCATTTCTGCAGGATACTCTTGGTTCAAGTAGGGCAATGGTGAGGCCAAAAAAGGCTTGACAACACACAGCCGAAGTTCAGTGGGCATTGCAAAGCTGGCCTTAAAGTGGGTCGTCCCAAGGGCAGCCCAATGTTCACTTTTAAAAGCAAAACAGAGAGAGAGAGAAATAGAAAATGGGGGTGGGGAAAGAACATGCCTGCACTGCTAATTTATACCAGTTCTATACTAGTCAAAGTGTCATGACTCCCCCCCACCCAATTCCTGGGAATTGTAGTTTGGTGTGACTGCTAAACAAAACCCTGTTAGAGATCCTCTAAGCCAGGGGTGTCCAACAGGTCGATCGCGATCTACAGTGGTATCTCAGGTTACATAGGCTTCAGGTTACAGACTCTGCTAACCCAGAAATAGTGCTTCAGGTTAAGAACTTTGCTTCAGGATGAGAACAGAAATTGTGCTTTTACGGTGCGGCAGCAGCAGGAGGCCCCATTAGCTAAAGTGGTGCTTCAGGTTAAGAACAGTTTCAGGTTAAGAACGGACCTCCGGAACGAATTAAGTACTTAACCCGAGGTACCACTGTACTGGTTGATCATGGGGTGTCCCTGGGCAATTGCGGGACACCCCCCCAGAAGTTCGCCCAGAAGGCTATGTGGCCCGGAGGCTGGAAACAGCTCCCAACATGCCCCAGAATTCTTCTGCAATATGAGAACATTTTTCAACAGAAAGAGATCCTTTGGCCTAAGTACTCAGAAAAGCACATGGAGCCTGGAGGTGCATCAAACAGCAGCATCTCCTCTGGAGATTACTTCTTTCCTTAACTTTAAAATACCTTTCAAATTACCGTATTTTTTGCTCTATAAGACTCACTTTTTCCCTCCTAAAAAGTAAGGGGAAATGTGTGTGCTTCTTATGGAGCGAATGCAGGCTGCGGAGCTATCCTGAAGCCAGAACAGCAAGAGGGATTGCTGCTTTCACTGCACAGCGATCCCTCTTGCTGTTCTGGCTTCTGAGATTCAGAATATTTTTTTCCTTGTTTTCCTCCTCCAAAAACTAAGTGCGTCTTGTGGTCTGGTGCATCTTATAGAGCGAAAAATACGGTAAACAACATGAGTCTATTTACTGCTTTTTCTCCAGCTGTTGCCTGAAAACCACACAAATGCACCAATGACGTGTGTTTGTGCAGGGGAGGGGGGAGGGGGACACCTTTCACTCGCCATAATGCCACCTTCCCATGACGGTCTGTTTTGATTGCCAGCCATCAGCAACCGTTTCCTTGTTGATGTTGGCCTCACCTACAGGAAGAACGTCCTGGTATGGCAGCTGAGCAACCAGCACGAGATGTCAAGCCAAAGACAGCCTGGGCTTGGCTTGGTCTTTGTAATGTCTTCTTTCAGGAAGATGAGTATCAAGAAAGAGAAAGAATCAAGACACCCTGGATGAGGTCCTGCAGAGCCAAGCTTGTGTGTTCCAGAGAGCTAAGAACGTACCTGAAGTGTTAAATAGCTTCTGTAAAACAGGTTGTGACTAACACACACAAAACACAGGATAGCTAGCATTGATCCTGTTTTCTCTTTTTTAAAAATCCTTTTTTTTTTTTTGAGGGGGGAAAAAAGAGTTTATATCCCACTTTTATCTCCAAGGAGCTCAAGGTGTGGCATGCATGCCCACCCCACCCCCACCACTCCTCATTCAATCCTCACATCAACTCTGAAAGGTAGGGTCTGGACCAGGGTCACACACAGTGAGCTTCATGGCCAAGTGAGGATTTGACCCCTGGTCTTTTCAAGTCCCAACCTGACACTCTAACCACTATGCCACGCTGGCTCTCGCAATAAAGGTACGTCAGCCTAAGAGACAGTGGCACGCCCAAGGTCATGGGGGTATTCAATGCTTGTGCCACTCACAAGTAGATACACTGAAGTTAATGGGCATTACTAAGATCCACTTATTTCAGTGTGTCTACTTGAGTAGGACTTAGCTGAACGCAACCCACACGGCAGGTTTCATAGTTGGGTGGGGATTAGAGAACAAGAACCCAACACCTATTCAATGCTCTCATCAAATTTATCACTCTCTCTGTATGCCAAGCTATGCCAATTGTCCCACCCGGCCTTGACATGTGGCCCCCAGGTGGTTACCCAGAGGGAAATGTGCCCCTCAGGATGAAAAATGTTCCTCCCCTTGTCCTAAAGGTATGAGTAGAAAGTTGAAAAGTTCTAAGAAGATCAGATCAAGAAGCCAATACTGTTAATATATTGAAGCTGGCTCATGTGGATAGGCCGAACTGGTATGGACAGTCCAGCCTTCAAAAATTCTCTACATAGAATTGTAGAGTTGGAAAGGACCATGAGAGTCAGCTAGTCCCACCCCCTGCAATGCAGGAATCTTTTGGCTAGTGTGAAGCTCAAACCCACAACCCTGAGATTAAGAGTCTCATACTCTACCAATTGAGCTACTCAATTTGAAACAGATCCAAGATGCAACAGCTTCCCTTCCAGTTCTCTTGTAACTTCCACAGTCTGGTGCTGACCTAACACCTAATTACGATTAGCACTAACCAGAATTTGTCATCCTAATTGAAGTCCAGAGCCTCCCCCACCACCACACACAAAGTAAAGCCACGGCTAGCTCAGGAAGCAAAGTCCTGCCTTCATAAGGTGTTTATAGGGAGACACCAACAAGACCCCTGCTGTCCCTTTGTAAACAGAGTCTATAGAGGTAGAGAAATCATCTTATCCCTGGCTTGAAACCCATTGCACCACCTCAAGGATCATCTTAACACTAGCCTTGGTTTCCAAACCCACACTGAGTCCATAATTTTGTCTCTTGATACAAGGGGAAATACTTAAGGCATGACTTTTAGGTGAGCTTCCCATAGGTTATCCAGTGGGATCGTGGATGAGATGGGGCTTTGATCTGATCCAATGGGGCTCTTCTTATGAAATTGGATATTAATGCTTAGCCACAATTAATAAAAAACAGTGCTATGGTTGCAAAGGGTTAATGGTACTGTGACCTGTCTGTACCACCACAGGGTCAGCAGCCCCACAGTAGGAATGGAGGAGCAATTAGTTTTGTTGGCATTTTAATAATTTGCACTTCTCGAACCAAAACATAAACAGAAATACAGTTCCCTTCAGAATTTGCAAATTTTGCAACCCAGCCAATGAATGTGTACAAAAATGCATAAAGTAGAGGGTATACATAAAAATGTGTGTATTGGCGAAAACAACAGACAAAGGTAGGGAAGATCGCTCAAGGCAAAGCTGCATACAAAAACGTGTTTATTTTGAGAAATTCACACTAGAATGTGGAAATGTGGAGAAACTCAATTTAAGAATGGAAAACGGAAGCAACTGAGAGAAACAAAAACTGACCACCCTGCTCCTCAGTTTCATAACCCCCGTCCTGTCCTACCCTTACCAACCAATTAAATGTTTTAAGATCACACGAAGGGCAGGTTTGACAGATGTGGTGATGTGCCACCCACGCCACCATTCCTGTCTACTGTCTCACCCGCCACAGACAAAACATGAAACATGCGTCAATCAGGCTGGAAGCACAACTTTGAGCAGCTGTTCCTTTTTCCTTATGCTTGCTAATTTGGCCAATTCTCCCTTGCAAGGAGCCTTAATTCTAGCAAGAGCTAACCTTGCAAACACACCATATACACATTTAGCTTGCACCACACAGAGCTACAATTCCCAGCACCCTAAGCAAACTATACCCCGCCCCCAGGATTCTTTGGGGGAAGCCGTGTGTTTTCATTAGCACAGCCACGAGGAAACCTTTTACTTGTGTAAGTGATCCAGGTACACCTTTGTATACTTGAATGCCCAAAGCTTGTGTCCTAGACTAAGTACACGTGCGCTTTTAAATTTTTATTTAGAACAATAGTCCCCAGCCAAAGAAGGCTCCCAGAGCTATTTACATATAAGCAATTAAAACAGCTGACGTAAGCTGCATACACATCATTCATTTAAAGCAAATTTAAAGTGCATTGCTTCCCTCTGGGAACTACAGCTTACTCCTCAGATAGCTAAAATTCCCAGCACTACAGTTCCCAGGACGCTTGTGGCGGTGTGTGTGTGTGCTTTAAATGTATGATGTGTACCTACTTGTAAGACCCAAACGATTTACTTTGGATTCACAAAGCAAAAACCGGAAGTCCACTGAAGCTGTTCAGCTCCCTGAATGGCTGGGCTAGGGGCAGCCAATGTAGTGCTATAAGGTGTTGAACTCCCAACTCCCATCAGCCCCCACCAGCACAACCAATGGCGAGAGATGATGGGAATTGTAGTCCAACTTGGGATCCTGACAGACCCCCTTTGCTTGATTTTGTTTGTTTGTTTGTTTAAGTGTTGGGGAAGTCTAAAAAGGGAAAAAGTATCACCATTTTGATTCTTGAAAAAAGGAAGCTTCTAACGATGCTTAAAAAAAGAAATAAAGGGAACGGCACCACATGGAGCCGCTTCTTTTAAAAAGATAGACACACACACTTAAGGCACTACTATATCAGCTATGTGAATGGCTTCAGAGTACTGAAGAGAAAAATTACCCTGGAGACCTCAGGAGACTGAAATATTTCCCCTTTCAGGAAAGGGAAGAGGGTGGAAGGAACCTCCCCACCAGCGTTGGGGTTTTGGCGTCGAGAATGCATGGGACTTGTTTGTATCTAATTAAACATTCTTTCATCGAGGACAACCGAGACAGCAACTCCAAGGTGACCAGACTGCTTAGGGGGGAGGAGGCAGGGCACCTTTGCAGACTTGGAAAGGAAGATCAAAGGAAGGAGAGGAAAGGAAGGCAGGTAAAATCAAGTCAGGCTGTTCCCAGACATGTTGCAAAGAGTAGAGACAAGACAAAACAACCACAGGCGTGCAAGGTAATAGAGTATGCACGACATAGTGTGGGACCAGTTCAGGACAATGGTTAATCTCAGAGGCAGGTTGCCTCTGGAAAAAGACCTCAGTGAACCTCAGGGTTTCCTGGATCCGATGCCCTCCAGATGTTTTGGTCTACGATTCCCATCAGCTCCAGCCAGAACAGCTGGGAGCCAACGTCAATGGAAAGGGGTGCCATGTTGGGGATGAAAGGCTGGCTTACACCCAACCCACCTCACATCCCAGAAATACCACCCACCTAGAATAGATGGAGGACTAAGGATTGGCTTGTATGTGTCATGTGGCTGAACTGTCAAACCTGCTGCTTAATGCTGGGTGGTGCAGGGAGGTGAAATGAGGGGGCTTGCTTCAGAGAGTAGTGAAGTTACCTGAAAGGTTCAAGGGTGCTTAAGAATGAGTGGCTGACATTTTGTTTTTGGCCCCTCTTACAAGGATGACATCTCCCCCTAGAATGCCCCAGGTGTGCTGTTAATGCAGGGGCAACGGGAAGAATGCTGGCCTTGATTTGTGCCTACCAGTTTTTACTCACTGAGTGCCCAATTCATTTTGTAGGGCAAGAATTGACTGTGTGACTGGGAGGTGATAAGGTATCACCCCCCCCCAATCAAAATGGTGTTTCAATTAAATGAAAAAGAGTTTAAATGGTGTCGCCAGAAAGGATAGTTTGGCTACATGCTAAATCAGTCGTGTGGATCACTTCACCCCGTGACAAACTCTCCAGGGGTCTACACGACTCAAATTCTCTACCTTCCCAATTGGTTGTGCAAATTACCCTTTTCTGCATTCAAGTATGAGTTGTCACCCATTTTGATTGCCCTGATGAAGACAAAAAACGAAAGCGGGGAAAAAGAAGGAAAAGCAAGAAACCCCAAATCACAGTCGACCCCTACAAGAACAGCCTTCCATATTTTTAAGTGGTATCCAACAATCCCACCCCCAAATGCATCGTTATATAAACTCTTGGCCTACCATACAAAGAGGGGCCCCAAAATTGGTACCTGCAAGAGGTCTCACGGAAAGAGATGTTCAGATCCCAATGTGCATGTATCCTGTTGAGAGAGGAGGAGGAGGGGGGAAAGGGAGAAAGAGAGAAAGAGAGAGAGAACTTTCAGTCGCAGGTGCTGAATAGGATGTTACAGCTCAGAGAAGCTCAGGCTCACAGACTAGGGGGGTGGTAACACTCCCTCCTCTTGTAACCTCTGTCTAAAGTATTGTGTGCACCCTCTCCCACCTTTTCAATGCTAAAACACAGCGTAGAGTGTCTATCTGCACAGACATTTGCCACAAACCACAGTTTACCTTTAAACCTGGGATGCAAGCAAGCTTCAGTCTGTGGCCTGAAACTCTGTCTTAGAGCTAGTCACAGTTAATGTTGGCACAGAGGTAGCACAATAGTTAATCGTTTGTGGGGGAGGGGGGAATCGAGTTTGAAGGAGGAAAGGAACAGAGGTGACTGGGTCCTACTGAGACTGGTGGGGCAGAAGGCAGGGAGCCCTAAAGTAGGTGGAGCCATAGCCAATGTCAGGTGGAGCCATTGTTCTTCCTGCCAATCTGTCAAAAATTGAGAACCAGGAGGAGGAAGCCAAGGGCCATCTCCAGGGATGGATGCTATGAAGAAGGAAGGCGTATGGTAGCTGCTAAGGGCAGGCTGAGGTTGGTGAGGAAGTGCCTTGTTCATTCACTGCAAGAAAGAGAACAGTGAAGAAGTAAGGCACTCCTGATGCCTTCAACTATTAAGGGACCAGGAAATGTTATGCCTTCACCAGGGCAAAGTACTGCTTTAAAAAGCGAGCTGAATAAGCTGGCAAAAAAGCACGTTGTAAGGAGAGCCCTGCTGCTGGATCAAGCCCGTGGCCCACCATAGTCCAGCACTCTGTCCTCACAGTGGCCAGTTAGGTGCCTGAATAGGAAGCCCACAAAAGAAGGATCCCACCTGAGATTCCCAGAAAATGTATTCATAAGTGGATGATAATGAATAAGTGGATAAGGGACGCTGGTGGCAGTGAGAGATCGTGTCTCAAGTAACAAGATGATCTTCCAGGAAGGAGAAGAAGCCGAGGCCTGACATGTATTAAGGAAGCCCAAACACTGCCTTGCACCACACACACACACACACACAAACCCGGTCACACTCCCTCCAGCTGTAAATAAATCATTAGCCCTTTCCCCGCCTCTGAAATTAATTCTGCATGTTCCGCCCGCAAGCTGGAGAGACAAGATTCCAGACAAGAGGCAGCCTAAATTTAGATGCTGACAAGTGACAGCGGATGGGATTTCCCCACCCCCAGCAAGCCTCTGAAGGCTGCCTCAGGCAACCTACTTCATTTCAGATTCAGGATCAAGTCCCCAGGTGGGATGATGCTCAGCCCCTGACTGGCTACTGGGGCTCTCTCACAAACTCACCTGGGAAGTCCAGGCACAGTAGGGCTAGAAACACAGGGTGCTGCCTTACACAGAGTCAGGTCAAGGGTCCCCTTAACTTAAAATTGTCTACACTGATTGGCATCAGCTCTCCAGGCAAGGGACATTCCCAACCCTACCAGAAGATGCTGGGGA